CACTAGCGATGAAAGAACAAACAAATTATATCAACAGGGATTCCATTCCATTTGCAAGATACCTTTACTATATTTACTATTGCGGAGGAAATGCAAGACTAAAACATCTGGCCGGTGGGCCTTCTGCCAAAGCTTTGAAGTCTGCCACTGGGCTGAAACAAAAACTGCCTAATCTTAGCATTGTCTCTCGTCCTTTGCGTAGCCTCCAAAACTGGGCTGAAGAAAGAAACTGTCTTTCAGCATCTCTCCTTAGGGTGTAATATGCCAGAACACAGCTGCTATGTGTACACAGTTACTTAATGAATACAAGGCAATATTTTTCAGTGAATCCTTGCCAGCTATCTATGTTTTTGTGGTTATGGATTTGAGGAGGTGGCGCAGTCCTCCGTGCAGAGCAGTTGTAAGAATTGCTTTTTTTGTGTAATGTCTGATTTCGGGAGAGCTTGTTTTCAATGATAGATTTTCAACAGAAGACATTACATCATGACAAAAGATCAATTTCTGAAGAGTACATGTAAAGTGTGTGTCATCAGTCTTATTGTACTCAACAAATACCAAAAAAAAAAAAATGTATTTATATATCTTAGCTACAGTAGAAAACAGTACCTAGAGGCTATCTATTAATCAGGCTTAGCAGTACAGGCATTCTTAAAGCAGCAATCTATATGGTGTAAGTCATTCTAATGCTTTACTTACAGTGATATAGTGATATATTATCTCATCTCCTCCGTTTATTCGAAAAGTTCTATAATAGAATTTCCAAGTCACCTCCCATTGTCCAAATGCAATATACAAGCTGTCATAATTAGCCAGTCTCGTAAGATCCTATTACAAGATAGAATTACCCATTCATTTAATGACAGCAAGACTTTTTACGGCGGTCGACATTCAAAATGCTTGAAATTGTAGGCTAGGATATAGTCTTTAGGGACCAAATTGTGATGGCAGTAAAGAATGTAATTGGCACTTAAAAGGTCCAATTCCAGAATGAGATGTCACAAACAAGGCCAAATTTATTCTCATACGCATGTAAGTGCAGGTTTCTAGAGGGCTCCTCAACGAAAAAAAATGTAAAAAATAAATAAACAAATTAATATTTATTTACAGATAAACAAGCCAAGACAGGTCAGAAACCGCAAGTTTGCTGAACACCTATAGACCAGGGGTAGTCAACCTTTTAATACCTACCGCCCACTTTTCTATCTTTGTTGGTGGTAACATTTCCTTACTGCCCACCAGTGCCATAGTAACAAATTTTAAAGTGCATGTGCGATTTATTTTTCTATTTTTAGAAAGGTATCTTTCTATTTATTTTTTATGTTTTTTTTTAATCTATTTTCTATTCTACTTTTTTCTATGTGTGTGTGTGTGTGTGTGTGAGAGAGAGGTGTAGTGTGTGAGGGAGCAGTGTGTGTGAGGGGGGCAGTGTGTGTGAAGGGGGCAGTCTGTGTGAAGGGTGCAGTGTGTGTGTGTGTGTGTGTGAAAGGTGCAGTGTGTGTGTGGGAGTGTGGTGTGAGAGGGGGCAGTGTGTGTGTGTGCATGGGAAGTGTGCTTGTGTAAGGGGTGTAATGTGTGTGAAGGGTGCATGGGGTCTATGCTGTGTGTAGGTGAGAGATGTGAAAATCTTTCTTAATGTTGCCCTCTCCCTTCTTTCTTTTACCATGGAAAGGGGACATAATGCTGCAAACCCTGGTGGTCAAGTGGTGGCATGTTCACTTTAGCCTGCAGCTGCTCCGGCTGCAGGCTGACTCTCCTGTCCTCCAGCAAGCAGGCACTGTATTGGAGCGTTGCCATGGTAATGCGCGGAAAAGCTCCGAACAGCCTGTTTGCGGGAGGAACATCCCAGGCCCTTCCCTCCCTCTCCTGGAACTAAGTGCCAGTGGTCCGGTGAGGGAGATCTTTGATCGCCTCACCAGCCCGAGAGGGCTTACAGCAACGCTGGCTCTGCATGTGCCAGCAGCAGAGATGAAAAGATCTCCACTGCCGGCCTTAGTCTAAGGCCATCAAGGCCCACCGAAAGTTTTCTGCAGAACCTACCACCACCCACCTGAAATCCCAAACCGCCCACTTGTGGGCGGTAGGGACCAGGTTGACTACCCATGCTTTAGACAAATATATCAGTGCTGAAGCAAGGTTTCGATTTAATAAGCTTTGCAATTGATTCAATACTGTTAGGAAAACTTTTCATAGGATTTATCTATAAAAGTCACCATTAAAGTCCATGGGAATTGTTTGTAGATAAATATTTTTTAAAGTTTTTCTTATAGTATTGAATGATTTGGAATGCTTATTAATTAGAAGTTTAAATTACATACAATTGCATTTCCCACAAGTCCTACCAGGGGTTTTCAACATTATCCCTCCTTAAGTCCACATAACTCATGGGCTAGCCACAATAGCTGAACTACTTTATAATTATCTTCTTATCAGTAGACCAACCACACAGACTAGTCAATTTGTGCTCAACCATGAAAACCCCAAAAACCTGACCTTCAATATAGTAAATCAACTAAATGACCATAAATAAATATTTGCCTCGTATAAAATAATTGATACAAAATATATCTATTTTTCAGATCTGTTTGTAGGAACCCTCATGGCTATGTATCATCAGCCAAGCAATTAGTTTCAGAGTTTGTAGTAGAACAGTTGAACAAATAATTAAGTAATCATTAGAACACTCTTGCTTAAATGTTCCATTTCCGTGTTTGCATATTGTGTTGTACATACACTACTACATCTTTGTTGTCTAATGGCAGATGGCCAGTTCAGAAATGTTGCCAAATGATGCTCTGAAACCCACAATTTTTAAGCCATACCAAGCAAGTAATTTGGAAAAAAAGAGTTTTGCTAATTTCTTTTAGCACATAGCATACTGCTGTTGATAAACGCCTACCGGAACTTATCAAATACAACTAATGTATTGTTGGAGTAAGTCACAAGATTTCCTTACCGTCGTTGTTTTAATAGACCTTTCAGTGGTTGTTTGTTCAGCTGCATATTCTTCGTATAATGAATAATGGATGTCTAATGGCAAATGCTATAATTTTCACTGGGCCTAAAATGACTTGTGGACATGTGATTTTGTCATTAATATCAATGTTCTTTTATGGTTAGTGATCTTTGAATAGATTACACTTTTTATTTGTTTTTTTTGTTTGTACAAACTCAATCCCTGACCAATTGTTAAGTAATTTTGTTTAACCATTTTTTTTTTAGAGCACCACAATATTTCATAGCCATGCACGATATATATAAAAAAAATACGTGGTGATAGGTATTTAAAATAATAAATACCTAATTTCTACAGTGTGCATAGTCTGAATGTTTATTTGTAGTTATTTACTATCAGCTTTTTAGTGCTGGATTTTATGTGTGTCTGTCAGAGTGTGTCAAATCGTGTGGGTTAGTGTGCCTGTGAGTGTTTGTCGAATCAGTGTGTTTGTCAGTGCATGTGTGTGTGTGTGACTGTCAGTGAATGTGTGTGTGTGTATATGTCAGTGTATGTGTATTAGTGAGGGTGTGTGCCTGTCAGCCAAAGTGTGTGTTCGTCTTAAACAAGAAGAGGTGCAGCCTTGACAGGAAGGGGTGGGGTAAAGTTAGATTGGGGGTGCCCAAGTTTAATCATGCCTAGGGCTGCACAAAACCAAAAATACATCACTGGCTATAGGGACTTATTCATTGACAATACAAATATTTTTTGTTTATAAAAAACTCATGATGTCTGAGAACTGCACTTGAACTTGGCTCCCTTGCTGTCAGCAGGTATATGCAAGACGACAAAGAATTGCACACTTAGGTATCACAACTGTGGTGCTCCCCCAAGTAGAATCCAAAATGGGGGTAATATGCACCTAATTTTAAATTTAATATTTTTTAAAAGAAATCAGCTTCTTCTCCAATCCCCATCACCCTTTTTTTGTCTCCATGACTGGTGTCTGAATCACAAAACAAATACAAAAATAAAAAAAGAATGCAAAGAAGTCTAATTGTCGTAAGGGATTGTTATAGACTGAAAAAAGGTCCTGTAGGGTGTGATTCTCCAGCTCTCTGTACTGAATGTTCACTTATTTTCCATCTTTTTAGTATCTGCACTAAGCCAATTGTTTCGAAATCACGTTGGCTGAAACCCATCCTTTGGAATTAGGTGCTATTTAAATGCTTGGCCCCTCTCTCTGCTTAAGGCAGCCTCTTTTTTTCTTTAGTATTTTTATTGCGCTGTCATGTTGTAATTTTGTTTCTTTGTGACACTGACCTCTATGACTCTCCTGTTTCCTTCCTATTAATCTATGCCTATAAATGTCTCACAACATTTTGCTTTGCCTGGGCCTTTACAGGGAAAAATATCATTACCCTTGTAAATGGTGACCATGTGCACACCCACTTCATGACATCATTTATATTATTTAAATAGACCAGCTAAAAGTGATGACAATAACTCCAGCAATATCAGCGACATTTCATTCCTTTAAGTATCATATTTTATTTAAATTGTCAGATCGTGTTTTGGAATCCCGGATTTCACTGATGATGACATCATCTGTGTAATTATTCCACGTGATGAACTGGTAATAATACACAGATCACTCCTGTGCTGTCTGAGGGCCAAAAGCTCAGGCAGAAATGGGGTATAAAGGTACTGGTTTGCCTAAGATTAGTGAGAGTTACAAACCAGATCGGTGCCTGCTGTCATTTTAATGACGGCAGCTGAAATAGATGCCTGCCAGGACCGTAACTCTTATAAATGTGAGGAAGCACTGGGACATATATAACTAATTTAAACATTAAAACTAAACACTACCTGTGGGGTGTGGCTAACCACCGAGCAAGATGGCCGCTTGAATCTTTGCTCAGGTATATGGGCTCTACAATATTGTGCAACTGAGAATATAAAACTTCACAACCCCTCAACTAACCATGTCTCAAGGCAAACATAGGAAGAACACTTCTAAAGCTGTCAAGCTTAATTTTTTGGGGGAAAAAAGCCTGGTCCTGTGTCTATGGCCGCGCATGCTGCCCTTCAAGATGGCGGATGCTCATCGGATGATAGCAACTCGGCTTTCAATCTGGGGAATACAAAACCAGAAGAAAATATTACCAGACAACATCTCCACGAGGCCTTGGATGCATTATCCACAGAACTGATCCAATCCTGGACATCCAGTGTGGACACGCTAATCAAGGACCTGCAAGATCTAGGGGCAAGAACAGCGCACACAAAAACCAAAATCGCCGAATACGTGGCAGCTGATGATGATCTAGCCGACGATGTGCAGCCGCACACTAACATCATTGCCTGCCGAATATGCAACAGTAGAAATATTTGCGGACCTCTCCGCAGCAACTCTACGAAGACGCAGAACCTTCAATCAAGTGACCGCGACTCTCAGAGACCACAACATCAGATACCGCTGGGGATATCCTACCAAGCTGCTGGTTGCGAGAAATGGGAAGATTGCCCCACTGCAAACACTTGAGGAGGGCTTGAAGACACTACGAGCATGGGTCATAAAATTCACACCTGCAAAAGAAGCGACTACTTTGCCTGCGGTCCAGAGGACTGTAACTTGAAATTAGCTACAGCTGCCATAACAGCAATCAACAAATGAAAACTCTCACTGTTATACGATATACGCATATTGCAACTATGAAATAGCTCACACTGTTCTTTTAGTTTATTTGCTAATTGTTATCAGTTTCTTCATTTGATTATTTTTTATTAATATGCATAAATCTAGCAAGCCCTACATTACTGCAGGGCAACAAGCTTTCACCTGACAAACTACTAGATAGGAATTATAATGAAAGAACCCGAATGAGTCGGAAAGCAGTTAATCTCAATACACATAATTAAATACTTCAGGAGGCACGTTAGGACAACCCCTATATACTCGGACACTTAGAGTATCATGAACCCAGTCACACCTTAAAATTATCTCACCCGCGCAAATCTAATACACTAGCTGGGAACTGGGGGATGTAAACTTCATAAATGCATAGCTTCATCAACACCTTACAGGAGTAGACCATTAAGATAAACCTCACTCTGGGAAAAGGCTACTAATGCCAGCATCAATTTATATGTTATGTTGATTTGTATATTGTTATTGTATTATATCTTTACCGGTGATAGATGTCAATTTAACCTCAGAGCCCAGGTAGCCACTGACACCATTCACTGGGTCTTATTAGCGCTAAGGTGGAAAAATATTGCACTGTTTCCCCATGGAGGGGACTAATATACATACTTTTGTTTAACTTTTATCTATGTAACCAACCCTATACATTCTTTTCCCTCATGGCTACCCTACCCCCCTTGAGGGAAAGAACACACAACTAGGTGTACGCCACCCTCACTGGTTTGGCACTAAGACGAAAACTGCTGCGACACCTATACTGTTTTGGCAGACCCGCCCCCTTAACATAGAACCCAAAGTCCGACATATAGCATCTCATTTTGGTTTCACCCAATATGATGATATAATCTCACAATCCTAGGGGGCTGAACACCCATCCCTAGTGCTGTAAACTCCTAGAGGATGTCAAACATGTATCAGGCGACATTGTATGTATACAGGAAACGCATTTTGTCAAAATGCGAATACACACCTTTGGTACCACTGACAACCCAACTCAAATCCATGCAGCACACACCTCTAAAGCCAGAGGCGTATCTATACTGATTCATAAATCACTCTCCTTTGAACTACTTAAACTCACCACAGATAGTCAAGGAAGGTATCTCATATTACTGTGTATGATTAATGATATGATAAGCAAAAAAAAGCCATGAAGCACCAACCATAACGCGTTGTTTTAAATATATTGAAACAACACAACTCTATGAATCCTCATGCAGAACGGCTCTCCTCACTGAGGCAAAATTCTGGAGACATGTGGAAAGTCTTTAGAGAACATACTACCCAAGGAAAGTAATATGGGGCATGGTTCAAAGTCTCGCCAGCCGAGTTCTTAAAGATCCATACTTATACATAGCTGTTCATAACTGGTCACAACTGATCAAACTGTCAGAAACAGTATTTTTTTGTTTTTCTCTCTCCTTTCCTTCCCTGACCCCCCTTCCTTCCTTCTACACCCATCCATTAAAAACGATTCATTCTGTTGGACAAGTTTGCATTATGTATATCAATAATACAGCCTGTTATTGTGAACAATTTGTCTCAAACAAGTTAGACAACCTGTAACACAATGTGCATGATATGAACCTGAAAATTGTATAATAAAAAAAAAAACCTAACACTACCTGAACTCTATCACTAAACATCAACACTTCCACTACATTAACATAAACAGTTACCGAACACACTAACACTTAAACTAACGCCAACTCTAACCTAAAAATGTCAAGTAATATAATATATACGTATGGCCTCCTATGGCACCAAAATATGATTGGTGTCGATGGGACAGTTACAAAATGTTGATTTTACTCACAGATCAAGTGAGACATGGATAATAGAGAGAAAAGAAGGGGCAGTAAAAAAAAAATCTATATTTAAATAGTATATATTTAATAAATAAATATAGATAAAACATAAATATATAAATACAGATTCTAATTTTTACCAATTGGTTGATTACTTTGTCTCACTTGGAGAGCAAAAAACGGGTCGCAAGAGTATTCTGACAGCAACTGAAATAGCCTGCTGTTCGGTGGATCCTCGCTCAGAACTCAAGCTGGTTTTAGCTCATCTTGTGCCATTACAGAGAGAACATATCTGAAGCATATCAGACTGGTCCCACCCATACGGGCAGTGTAGATCCGAAACGCCGGCAAGTTCCCTCTGCACGAGAGATACAGCAACCCCAGACAATCATTTCAGCCTTTTTAGGCATCATCAGTGAGGCATAGCTGATATCTCTCTAGGCACTGTGAGCAAGGGAACTGTGAACTGTGAACCAAATAGCGGCAAAATATTTATATTTTGTATATATTTTACAGTACACTGATTGGCCCTTTTTCATGCCCTTTTTTGTTTGTCCAAATCAGTTCCCAAAATAATCAGACAAGTCAAAACATCGAATGAGTGTCAGACATCCCGTGTTAATTCTCGTTTTCAGAAAAATGCTAATTTTTCCACCGTGCACAAAACTAATATGCTATCGAAAAAAACAGTTATAGTAGTCTCTAAATATAGGGACTGATTTCCTGTAAAAAGATAACGTACATTCGTCATATCATTTTAAATTGTCATGAGAACAATACATTACAAATGATATATTTTCGAGGTTTTATTTTATACTTCGCAGTTAAAAATAAATGCAGAAATACAGAAATTCTGTGTGAATGAGATAAAGCCTAAATTTTTTAAATGTTACCATAGCTAAGAAGAAAAGACAAAGGAAACATTTATTGCAGTTCTAGAATGTAACTTCAGCTATTAATAAAAACACGCTTTCCGGACTGAAACCAGAATTTAAAAATATGTATTTTATTTCAACATATATATATATATATTATCTCAAAGGCTTCCTTTATAAAAATACAGGAGCAGAGCTGATGAAGAAAGTGCTGAGGTTTTGAAAGTGGTATATATTTGGTCATAGTAAATGAAACTGTGAAACAAGGCAAATACAGACAGAACTTGTTTCCTCCCGTTTCCCAACTTACTAGAAAAAAAGCACAGATAATCTTTTCAGTGCTTTAGTTTAACTCTGGTTTTAAACAGCCAATATTTAATTTGTTTGCTTTGGCTTTTTTATATAGAATATGAATTCCCATTAGCCTTGAAAGGTTTAAAATATTGTTTAAATTTAAATTCCCATGGGTGAGATTAACCTGGATTATATTATTTCAGAGTTGTGGTGTAAAAATAATTATAAGTAACTTTACCTACTGTGGTTTAAATTTCTTTTCAACTTGGAAAAGTATAATTTGTTCAATGTTTATATTTGTAAAAAAAAAAAAATCAAGTTGACAATTTGGCATAAATCACTAGTCAAATAAATAATATGAAGACTGACATTCAAAAAATGAAAGCCATGATGAACAAAGTCCTAATAAGCTTTTACTTTACCTTATAGAGATATACTGTTACAATCAGTGAATATCTGGGATGCCCAAAAGGTAGATCCCCAGTAGTGATGTACCGAACGGTTCGCCGGCGAACGGTTCCTGGCGAACATAGCATGTTCGCGTTCGCCACGGCGGGCGAACATATGCGCGGTTCGACCCGCCCCCTATTCGTCATCATTGAGTAAACTTTGACCCTGTACCTCACAGTCAGCAGACACATTCCAGCCAATTAGCAGCACACCCTCCCTAGCAGACCCTCCCACCTCCTGGAAGGCATCCATTTTAGATTCATTCTCAAGCTGCATGCTTAGTAAGAGGAGGGAAAGTGTAGCTGCTGTTCATAAGATAGGGAAAAGCATAGCTAGGTTAGGGATAAGGGTATGCTTTTTTTGGATTTTTTTTTCTATGTAATGTAAATGCACTTAGTTGTCTGCCACTGCTGCCAGCTTCTGTGTCAGGCTCACAGTGCCCATTTCACCAGTCAGTGCCACCAATTACATCTGGTGTCACAATAGCTTGGATTTAAAAACAAAAAACTTTTTTCACTGTTATAGATTGAATAGCAGTCAGTTGTCTGCCACTGCTGCCAGCTTCTGTGTCAGGCTCACAGTGCATACTGTGCCCATTTCCCCAGTCAGTGCCACCAATTACATCTGGTGTCACAATAGCTTGGATTTAAAAACAAAAAACTTTTTTCACTGTTATAGATTGAATAGCAGTCAGTTGTCTGCCACTGCTGCCAGCTTCTGTGTCAGGCTCACAGTGCATACTGTGCCCATTTCCCCAGTCAGTGCCACCCAATTACATCTGTGGTGTCACAATAAGCAGATTTAAAACAAAACTTTTACTGTTATAGATTGAATAGCAGTCAGTGTCCTTAGCGGGTGTGTTAGCGCTAACGAGTGGATGGCAGCTGACAGAGTGCCACTAATTAGATCACAATTGTCACAGCCAAGCTTGGATTTA